AAAAAAAAAAAAAAAAAAAAAAAATGACAAAACAGCTAAGCGACACTTCAGGTTGGCAAAGAACTTCTTAAATTTTTCCGAAGCTCCAGAAAACCCAATAAAGAATCTCACGCCTTGTGGAAAAACCCCAGCAAAAGATGTCAGTGGGCTGTTGAAAATCTAGTCATTATTTTATACTTTTTAAATTATTTGGATTTCTTTTTCTTTGCCAGCGAAAACAGTTCTATAAAGACTAAGAGTAAAAAAAAAAAACTCACGAAGTCAACCCCGACGTAAACTTTCGTGTGACCACGTAGGTACCCACACCATCGAACAGTACCACGGCGAGGGATGCCCTCTGCATCAAACCAAACAATACGATCACCATCCATTAGGCCTCCCTCATTTGACTTCAACCTAAAATATGCACAGGGTAGATGCCATGCATAGAGACCAGTTACATTCTGCGTATTTGCACGAACAAACTCACATCTAACTCGCCGAAAAGGTCCACAAATTTACCGCAAAAAATACGTAATCTCAATGATTCTTCACACTTCCTCGCGTTACGATTGATTACAAATACGTTTATAAGAAAAAATAATAATAACAATAATCATGGTAATAACAACAGTAGTAGTAATGATAACTATTAAAATAAACAACAATAATATCAACAAAGAAAAAAAAAAATCAAACCTCACTGTTTCTGGACATACGGCAGGTTTCGCCGGGCCAGTCTCCGCTAGATTACGACTGGACTCCCTCACAAGTGATGTCCTCGAGCCAGGTGGTCCATAACGTATTTGGTTTTTTGGCTGGTCTGTGATATTTACATTGATGTCGATTATCCGTTGTGATGGGTGATTACGATAAGAATCTGCATCCGAATGTGTTGCGCTAAAAAAAAACAGTTGGCATATTTTAATTTTCAGTAAAACAACGAAATATTTGACGAGATATTTAAGTATTAAAGGTCGAAGGGTCTGGCATAGTTGCGCCTGGGGTGCAAGAGCATTCCAGTAACATCACTGACATGGGATATCCATACCAATTGCCCGAGCGGTTTTTTATCCATAGTATTTTCAATATCACACTATTTCAACACATTTTGAAGTACAGTTCAAAAGCTTGATGCGCCATGAATTGTTCAACACTACATGCAGCACCTCGATCCAATATTTCAGTCTTCTTATTATCTTAAAAATCGATTTCCACGAACCCGCGAATAATGAAAACCGAACGTATTTGACAAAAAACCAGCAATACCTTGCATCGGTAGCATCGACTGGAAATCTGCCT